GACGCAAGTGAGCTGCCGCACGCAATGGTATGCAGAAGTCTGGGACCATTAGAAGATAACAAGTAAGTCAGTCGGAGTGATTGGAAGCTGTAGGTGGGATTGAATATCTAACAATTTGGTTGCAACTAACGTTGTGGCCGTCTTGTGGGGTTATGCTTTAGTCGAGATCAGGTCCATGCTCCCACAGCTCATCCTCAGGAATGCATATTCCTAGGAATTCGGATACTGATGGGGTGTTTAGAAATCTGGGTACAGCGTTTCGAAACTCTAGGGTGGTCTTGGTTTTGCGGATAGTCATCGGCAGCCGATTCCATGAGATGGCGTATTAATGAAGAAAGAAGTTGGAACGGATCCTAGATGGAGCCGTAGCCGTTCATCATAAGGGATATCTCAGGACACTAACTAATCCATCTGAGCAGGCAACTATCAGTCCTTCCACATTATCTGCGCCTTCATTTTTAGTCTTTAGCTTACGTTTTTATCACTTTCCAAATTCTTTGACCAGTGGGTCTGTGAAAATAGGTTAGGCTTATGACCTCTGAGGTACTCCTCGTAAAGACATTCTAACATACCTAAGATTTGTATAAGGTGTTAGTGTATATGGTTGCTGTCAATGCATATAATGCAATTATGGTTAACATTAGAATTGTCCAAAACACCGTACACATACCAGCTTTAGACGTACTTATGTGCACCTTCGTAGCTGTCAGTTGCTTGTTGGTCTTAATTCATGAATTTTCATTCGGCGTGAGTACTCGCTACTTTACTTCGCCGTTGCCAAATATAATCGGTCTGCACACCTCAAAATAATACATATATTCTATCTGGTCAGTATTGGGACTACTGTAGTGCAACTGAAAACATGCTCTTTCAGTATCTTATAACATTGGATTTTATGGTTGTTTTAACCTTCGAAACGTCCATTTGTTTAACTGACTGCACATCCATGGTCACAAACCGTTTTGGTGAGTTCCACGCTGCACGTTCCTCGCTCTCTCTGATTCGCTTCCTATTCTTGTAGCCTGTACAATATACGTTGGGTTCAGTTGCCTCCGACTTCTATACTGTCGTATTTGACACGTCTTACGTGTCATTGCTTACCGACTAGTATCCCAGGTTCCGCCCAACAATTGGTGACCCCCTGTCAGGAACACGCCGCCCGCCATTTTGCATTTTCATTCTGGTGAGCTCGTTCCAGTGATTTTGTGATTCATTACTTGTGATCATATTGTTTTCTCACCTACCACATTTTTACCTGCTTTTTGCAATGGATTATCTAGAGGATAAGCCATCTCCATGCGCGGCTAACGCCGTTCAGCCTGTCATGGTCAACTCTGTTGCCTTAACCCCTCCCCCGTTTTGGGAGAATGATCCTTTATTATGGTTTTTGCACCTAGAATCCGTATTTTATATTCGTAAGCTTTCTTCTGATTTCGCCATGTATAATCAGTTAATATCTTGCCTTCCTTATAGTATATCCTCGCAGGTGAGAGACATCATACTTTGCCCCCCTCTAGTAATGAAATACGAGACACTTAAACAGGCTATTATTCAGCGAATCACGCCTTCTGACAAGGTCCGTCTGCAGCAACTATTTAGTGATCTGCAGCTAGGAGATAGGATGCCCTCAGCCTTGTTGCGCGAAATGCAACAGCTCATCGGCACGTCCAACATGGACGTAGGGATTCTCCGCGAGCTGTGGATGCAACGCCTTCCTGCAAGCACTCAAGCTATCCTTGCAGTAGCAAGTGACTTGCCAATCACGGCAATTGCAGATCTAGCAGACCGCGTCATCGAACGGCACCAGCCAGAGACTGAAACCAAAGCACTTAAGCAGCTTTGCGCTGGCGCAACCACAACGACAGGCGCGACTAGCCCTCCGTCGGCAATAGACGCATTATCATTGCAGATAGCGTCGCTTCAGCGCCAGATCAAAGAACTCACCTTAAAACGTAAGCACTGCAACCGCTCTGGATCATCGCACCGTCGCACAAAACCTGATGCCTCAGGTTACTGCTTTTACCACTCGCGTTTCGGTACTAAAGCCCGTAAGTGCGTACAGCCGTGTAGCTACTCCGCTATAGATGATCCGCCACGCCGGGCTGTAATGGCCACGAACGTCGGCAAAGCCCGAAGTCGTCTCATCTACATTAGGGATTATGACTCCGATACCCAGTTCTTAGTTGATACCGGGGCGGAAGTCAGCGTCATTCCCCCTATGCCAGGTGAGCCTACCGCTTCTCTGTCGACAAGCCTCAGTGCCGCCAATGGCACACCAATAGCCACCTATGGTCATCGGTCACTTACCCTGGACCTAGGTCTTCGGCGCACGTTCCGCTGGGTATTCACTGTCGCTGCAGTCCCCTTTGCCATCATCGGCATTGACTTTCTCAGGCATTTCGACCTCTTGGTCGATGCGAAACGCCAGATGATAGTCGACACTGCAACAAAACTCAGCGTACGTGGCATCACCGCCGATGTGACATCTATATCCCCGGTCTATGCATTTCCCCAGACCTCGTCAGCCTACGCTAATCTCCTTTCTCAGTATCCCAAGCTCGTTCAGCCAATGAACGCAGCTTTGCCCGTGGCAGCTCAAGTCACGCACCACATACGGACGAATGGCCCACCTGTGTCATGCCGTCCACGCCGACTATCGCCTGAGAAACTAAAGGTAGCTAGGGCGGAGTTTGAGCACATGCTTGAACTTGGAATAATCCGCCCTTCCGACAGCCCTTGGTCCTCGCCCCTGCAGATGGTCCCCAAGAAATCTGGTGACTGGCGCCCTTGCGGTGATTACCGCGCACTCAATCGCCTAACCGTCCCAGATAGGTATCCCATCCCACACATGCAGGACCTTACCGCATGCCTCACAGGTAAGACGATCTTCAGCAAGATCGATCTGGTTCGCGCCTATCACCAGATACCTGTGGAAGACAATGACATTCCTAAAACAGCCGTAATCACTCCTTTCGGTTTGTTTGAATTTTTAAGAATGCCATTTGGACTGTGCAACGCCGCACAAACCTTCCAACGCTTCATCCACGATGTTACTCGTGGCCTTGACTTCGCATATTCCTACCTCGATGATATCTTAGTAGCCAGTTCATCGGAACAAGAGCACCTCGAGCATCTTCGAGCTCTCTTCCAGCGCTTGACCCAACACGGTGTCACAGTCAACCCGACTAAGTGCGAACTCGGCAAATCAACGGTAGAATTCCTAGGCCACCTCGTTTCATCGTCTGGTATCGAAGTCCTTCCTGATAAGATCCAGGCAATCAAGGACTTCCCAGCTCCGACTTCCTTTAAGCACCTCCGTCGATTTTGTGGTTTGGTCAACTACTATCGACGCTTCATTCCGCGCTGCGCTCAGCTCATGCAGCCACTGACTGACTTACTCAGAGGAAATGAACGTAAGTTCGCTTTCCCTGACACAGCACAGGCAGCCTTCGCCGAGCTCAAGGATGCTATCTCCAACATAGCCCTCCTCGCTCATTCCGAATCGACTGCACCTCTTTCTATTACGACTGATGCCTCAGACGTCGCGGTAGGAGCCGTCCTCCAACAACACGTTGGTGGGCGCTGGCAACCCCTTGGGTTCTTCTCCAAGCGCCTGCAGCCAGCGGAATCCCGCTACAGCACGTTTGGCAGAGAACTGCTCGCCATTTACCTAGCAATACGTCACTTCCGGCACACACTTGAAGGCCGCGCTTTCACGGTCTACACTGACCACAAGCCCCTTATCTTTGCCTTCAACTCTGCTAGCGACAAATACTCACCACGGGAAACAAGACACCTAGACTTTGTCACGCAGTTCACTGCTGACATACGTCATGTCTCAGGTGTCGACAATCCCGTCGCCGACGCTCTCTCACGCGTCAACCTCACTCTCCAGTCTTTGCCTACCGTCGACCTTGCCGCAATGGCATCGGCTCAGGCTCAAGACGAAGATATACAGCGCACTCTGCAGTCCACTTCGCTGCATGTGCAACCTGTTCCTCTCCAAACCACGGAAGGAACCATCCTCTGTGACACGTCCACAGGTTGTCCTAGACCTCTCGTGCCCGTCTCCTTCAGACGCACAGTCTTTGACGCACTGCACTCACTATCACACCCTGGTATCCGTGCATCTTTGAAACTGGTCACCGAACGTTTCGTTTGGCCACGCGTAAACAAAGATGTTCGTACCTGGGCTCGCGCCTGCCTTCAATGCCAGCGCTCTAAAGTACATCGTCACACCCGCAGTCCTCTTGGTTCATTTCCTGCCCCAGACTCTCGGTTCTCGCATGTACACTTAGACCTGGTAGGCCCATTGCCTCCGTCGCGCGGATTCGTATACATTCTGACATGTGTCGACCGCTTCACCAGATGGCCAGAAGCCATTCCCGTAACAGACTGCACAGCTGAGACTGTTATCCGGGCCTTCTTAGATCGGTGGGTATCGCACTACGGATGCCCATCCACGATCACAACTGACCGCGGAACGCCTTTCGAATCTTCACAATTCGATACGTTCTGCAACTTCTTAGGTTGTCGCCGCATCCATACAACAGCGTATCACCCAGCAGCCAACGGGTTAGTTGAACGTTTCCATAGACAGCTTAAAGCCTCGCTCTGCGCCTCCTCCGACCCTAGCTGGAGCGAAAACATTTCGCTCGTACTCTTAGGCATTCGCAGCAGCATCAAATGCTAATGACTAAATGCAACTTGTGCTACTGTAGCAAGATGCTGATTCTTACGCGCACGACGCTCAGGTGACCAGCGAGAATATAAGAATGTTATACCTCCCGCCATGCGTAAGGATATTGCAGTATCCTTACATTTCCCAGATTAACTTTGACGCTCCTACTCTAACAGCTCAAACACATGCGATTACACTACGCCAGACCCCTTGCCCCGTGACAGCAGATAGAGAGTGCAAATAGCAAGCGCCCGATACTCTCTCATTCAATGTAGCACTTACAGTCTTCCTCCGCCACAGGACAGCAAGCTACCGGCCGCCCTACTTCAGTACTCCATACACTAGGCCCCCTCTACAGAGTACTCCTGCAACGACGACTCCGAAACACTTTACTTTCAGCACCATAAATGGTCCACTGAACAACAGTGGTCCAATACGATCGCTAATCAAAGTGGCTTTCACCTTGATAAGCACACTTAGCAAAACCAATCCGGGATAGCTCTCGCCACAAGCACCCGCACCATGGGGCCTGATCTTCCCGATGCCAGCATGGCATAGCCCGCAACATCTCGTATCCCCTTTTGACCGCGACCATCCTCCGCAACCCCAGAGCAACCTCCGACCGCAGCGCTGTATAGACAGGCATAAAGTAATTTCGGTCCGTATTGTCAGATTCATGTAAACGTCATTAGCTATTCCATTCGACAACGCCCTTATTCGTCTTAGTGAAGTTCCATCCGGCATTTCTTCACACAAGTTATAAGCAATATTGTCCGAAAAAAACCAAACATAATTGAAAACTCTAAAAAAGCGGCTATTTGCTATTTTATCATGCCCAGAACCCTGTTCCTCTCCGCGTCAAGCCACTCCCCGCACCCCTATAGCCCCCACACCGCTCTGACAGTTTACTTCAAGAAACTCAACGCCGGGAACTAAGACCCATGCCCAACCGTGAGGTGGTTTTTTTTTAGCAGATGCACTCGCCACCGCTCCCAAAAGCCCCTAATCCGTCACCAAGAAACAGACATAGTCGCCTCGACCGCAGACACCCACGAAACGGACTTAGGTACCCCAAACGCCCCAGGCATCGCCGACACGCAGGACGCCTGAGAATTTCTTACGCTGGCGACTGAGCGACCATGACCGCACTGAATGCATCGGCTGGGGGCGCGAGCTGCCCACACCTCACCAAGCGCACCCGATCGAAGCGACTCAGCAAAGCAACAGCCCCAAAGGAAGGTCCTAGTCGCGCATTTTCTTCTAGAGGTAGCCAGATTTTTATTGTCACGTCCGACCAGACCCACCCCGACGGAGCACGATGCATGCAATCTATGCACCACCACGCATTCGTCATAAAATAAATAACTAACAAAAGCAGAGACCCACGCGAAATCGTGCTACAACACCCCCCAATTTGACCAGCCCTACTCAAAGCCCCATGCAAATATATCGCATCCTTACCCTCACCTACCGCTTTACCCTAACTAACAGCCATCCATCAAGGCTTCCCAGTTCTTCAGCCTCTCTAAATATGGGAAGCGTCCTTAAGCTAGTGCCTACCGGGAAAACAAGCTTTTGCAGTATTGTCGCTAAACATTGCGATTATACGGTCGTTTTAAACCTTCGAACGTCACTTAGTCTTTACTTGACTCACACGCTCCGTCTGACACAAACCACGTTTACGGTGAGTACCTGCATGTACACGTTATCGTCGACTCATGTCTGCAGTTCTGCTTACCCTATTCTCGCAGCCGCTGCCACAATATACGTTGGGTTCAGTACGCCTCACAGCACTAATCTATACTCGTCTGTATTTAGACACGTATTAGCGTAGTCATGCCCTTAACCCGTATTAGACTAATCCAGCGCTACACGCCCCAACAAGTCCCCCGGAAATAACAGCACTGTAGTGAGTGGACCACAAATAACTGATAAATCAGCCATGAGTGTACTCCACGCATAGTACATACGGCAACCATCGCCCGTTGAAGACCGAGCGCTCTAAACTCTTATGTTTCATAAGCTGGCCAAATGCTACAGCTATATACGTGTTTGCACGTTCTCGGATGCTAGGCTGCATTGCAATTATTCCAACCTCCAGGTGAGATACAAATTCTCCCTCATTCCATGCACTGCCAGTACCTGTATTAGCATAAAATTCCCCGTGCGGTATGAGTCAAGAAGCCTACCGAAAAGCGATAAGAAGAACTGCTCGATGCAATAACACCGCAGAATTCGCACTTTTTTGAATGCCCGTGATGTAGTGCCTTCTTCGATCAGCCTGAAGCGACAAGCAATACAACGTCGGCTTGGAATAACACGCGCAAGATTCAACTTTCTTAGCTGGGAAAGATATTTACAAGCACCCTAGCGATAGTCGTAAATGACTTAATAATCTCACATTTATATATTTTCCACATAATGAATCGGGATAGTTAAGATTTTAAGGATGGGCTTGCAAGCCCAAGCTTAAGGTAGTATCAACTGATCGCATGGTCACTTTCCACACATTAATGTCATCGCCATCAAGCGGCTAGTACAAGTCGAAATTAAAATAAAGTGCTGTCTATATCAGTATATCAAGTATCAAGAAATCAATGCGCCTCCCCCCCCGGTTTTATTCCCCCCCCCCCCACAGCCCCCCCCCCCTAGACGTCTACCGTAGTGCCGTGCGGTAGCCTGATCACCGGCATGCACTCTCGCCATATCGATTTTGTATTCCTCTCTGCATAAATCCAAAAAACGTGGATACTACCGAGTTCGACTAGACGCAAGTCGACGTGCATAGTATCAAATAGAAAACATAGCATCGCAGCAACTTCCTGAGCATTAGCGTCGTCAAGTCAAATCGCCATCTGCGACCATCAGTCAAGAGAAAGCTGCAGTCAAACGACCGGATAGCGGCTTGTTTTCATCTCAGACGCAACAGTGGTTACTACTGCGTTGGTTAGGCTAGATGCCACTCATGAGTCCCCGTTAGATAAATGATAGGCAGTACAGTGATTGCGTTTCAAGCGTTTTTCAAGGTAAGAAACATGTAGCCTGAGCTCTGCACTGTGCAAGAATACTA